CGCCACGCCCCGCCGTGCCCCGCCACCGCCACAGCCTCGTGCACCGCGCCCCGACCAACCTCAAACACCACAACAAACACACACCACACCTCGCTCGCATTGACGACGGAACGCAGAGGACGCGAGAAAAACGAAATGTGTATCACCAGCGGCGAGGCACGTCCCCCCCCCTCCTCACACACACACAGACTCACGCAGAGGCGTAAGACGAGAAGATGAGTCACAACATCTTCGCGTCATTAGCGCGTGAAAATGAAGCATGCAGGTGAGAGAGAGAGATGGGAAACATTCCGACAGGCGACGTGACACGCAAGTGACAGAGGAGACTGGAGAGTCAAAGGAAATATAGCTTCTGATCCTGTAAAAGAAAAACGCTGGACGCTCAGTGTGTTCAAGAAGCGGGCGACAGAGCCTCAGCTTTAACGGCGGAAATATAAAAGAGCCTGGTGGGAAGCGAGCCAGGGCGGCCAGGGCCGCGGGGGGTTGGGAAGGGCGCCGGCAGCACCAACATCAAAACTCCCACCCGACTGTCCGTCCGGTGAGTAGGCAACCCGCCACGCCGGGCCTGCAACAAATGCACCAAGCAGGCTGCCGGTCGGAGACTTGCACGCACTAGGGCGACAGAGCACGCGTCCTCTGCGGCTCCGGGGCGTGCGCGAAGGGTGACAGTCGGCGGCGAGGGTCACGAGGCGTCTCCTGCCTGGGGCTTGTCCCTGGACTTGTCCTGGACTTGTCCTGAGCACGCCTCACGTGCGAGCAGCAGACCCTGGGCCTGGGCCCCGAGTCGTATAACGGCCCATGAATAACTTCCAGCACGCCAGAGCAGCAGCACGCCACCTTGAATTAAGCTCGGGCGCGTCATAAGAATCGTGTCCTGGAATTCGAGGCGTGTCCTGCTGCAGCGCTGATTGCGTCCAGCGACAGTCATCGTACGTCTCGACGAGAGGTCACTTCTCACCTGTCGCTCCGAACCGTTGCAGCTCCAGCTCCGCAGCTTACTTCCAGGGCGTCCTGGAGGCGGTCCTAAATCACCGGGCGCCGCATCCCGCGAGGATCACGAAGTGCGACTCCACTCCGCCACACACACACACACACGGCACACAAGGAACTTGCAGCACTGCTCGGGGGGAGGGTCGTTCACCGGCATCCACATTCACTGTTGTCGGCGGCGTTCGCTCCGGGCGTCGCCAGCCGGCACCGGCGGCCACGGCGTACAAGGCCTTCCAAACAGCACACAACACACGCACAATCGCGCACGCACTCACACAGACGCACTGGGCGCGTGCCGGGGCGGCCCTGGCTCGGCCGGGGGGCGGCACCTACCCGGTGGCAGGTGCGCAGGTCTTTGACAAAAACGGCAGACAATGCGCGGCGGCGGCGTCGGCTGCTCCGTCGCGCTGCCTGGCCAGCCAGACTCTGTGCGCAGCAGGCTGGGCCCAGGTGAGCCGCGCCAGCCCGCGAGGCCCGGGCAGCCATGGCCGCACCCCCCCCCCCCTCCGGAAAAGAAAACAAGGAAAAAGAAGACAACGCCGGCAGGTAGAGCCGCGCGGCAGGTATGCACACACACACACACACACGCAGCCGCGCTGACGTCAGGACGCCCAGCACTGCCAACGTCGCGATCGACGCCAGCGATCTCGGTGGACTTCCCTCGCCCCGGTTTCCGCGGTGGCGTCTTCTGCCGGGGGTGGTGGAGTACTGCGTCGGGGGCGGCCTGGACGTCCAGGGCCGTGTCCGCGACGACTGCGGCGCGTCGAGACAGCCTGCGCCCCGACCACGGTGTTACGCCCTAGGTTGGCAGCGCCGTCGAGGCGTCCCCCACCCCCTCGCCGGAGCCGAGCCGGGCCGGCCGGTGCGCCGCGGCCAAGGCGGCCGCACCTGGCCCCTCCCACCACTCGGGGCAGGCGAGCCGGGCGAGCCAGCAGGGCCTCTGGCAGGGCGAGGAGGGCGAGGAGGATAAAGGCAGGCGATAAGGGCAGCCAGTCCCCGGGGGCGCTATCGCCGAGAGGACGCCGGGCCAGGAAGCGACCGCGCCCCGCCTGGCGTCCAGGATCCGCTGAGAGAGTCCACTCCACCCGTCCACTCGAAGGCTGATAGCGCTTACCTAGCAGCAGTCCAGGCAGGGCCGCGTAGATCACGGGGTCCGTGTCCGGGGCCCACAGCGGGAGGCCCTTGTTGTTATTGTTGTTGCGGACAAGGGTGTTGTTGTTGGCGGTGGTCAGGGCGGCCAGGCCGGTGCGCGGCGGCAGCGCGGGCCGCTGCTGCTGCTCCTCCGCGTCGCCGCCCCCCGCCGCCACGGCGCCGTCCGCGACCAGGGCGTCCAGCAGGTCCGCCGCCAGCCCGGCCCTGGGCCCGGCGGCGTCCAGCCCGTCACTCATCGCGGCATTCTTCTGCAAGCAGGACAAACACCTCTCATTCATGCGGCACTTTCAGCTTCACTCTGCGGCGAGATGTGTCAGTTGACAAGGGGAAGATTAGAGAGCTCAAGCATGCTTTCCTGACAGGTATTATTGTCGTCTCGCTGTGCACCTTGACAAAACTCGTAATACATTTCTTACTCGTTTATTTATTCAGTATTTTTTGCAGAGTATCGCGGCGGCATGGCGACACACAGGGGGAGGGGGCGGTGTGGGAACCACGGCAATAAGCAGAGCGGGCGTACAGGCCACTGGGAACCAGCTGAGAGGCCCGTCGAGCTCGCCGAGCTCTCCGACGGTGGCCTCGCCACTCACCCCGGCCCTGCCCCACCACCCACCACTCACCTCGCCCCCTTCTTTACCCCCTTCTGTTCACCCCTTCACAGGCTCCCAATCTCCCCGCTCGCTCCACCCAAAGACCCAGCCCCAATGTCGAAATTTTCCAAAAAAAGAATTATGGGGAAATTTTTTCCACAATTGTTTTCAAAATGTTTGAATTTTTTCGTTAGCAATTGTTTTTGTTTTTTTCAATTTTCTCCCATTTTTTTTCTGGAAAACTATCAAATTTTCCCGGGCAAACGACGGACTTTACACGCAAATCACCACGGAAAAGCTTCACTTTTTGTCTGTTTGGTCTCTGTTCACTCGCCGGCGGGGCGAGGCGCCACTTGCACACGTGCCGCTCTACTCGCGCTGCCGGCCGGGCTCCGCAGGGCAAGGCGTTGCGGTGGACCGTTCACACCGCCATTAAGGTGAAAGGAGGCATCACAATACCACTACTATACGCCCTGGCAGGGCCCGGCCCGGTCCTACCAGACCGACCGCGACAGACAATGGGAAATGTGCGTCCTGGCAGTCCCGGGGCCGGCCGGCCGACCCTGGACACGCGCGGGAGGGACACTCTTCCTCGGGGGCCTGGCGGCGTGGCCCTCGGCCGAACACGACGCGACAGGTGAGGACGGACACCATCACACTGCGCGCCAGCGGCGGCCACCCGCACCGACTGAGCACTAAAAAAACAGTTCAGTATGCAAATCAAATTAGCCCAGCAAATAAGAGCTGAGCAACTTGAACTATACAGCCGTACAAAAAAATATCAGCCAGGAGGCTGATGAACCCCGCGCCCTAGTGTAGTTATGCTGTACCACATTCCTGCGTGCGGGCGGATTGCCTATTCGCTCGTCCAGTAAGGCACCATGGTCAGCCAAGGGCGATCAGCCCGCCCGCACGCCTGCTTCCGGTAAAGAATGTCTACAGAAAGTGCGCGGGGTTAATTGGCGATCTGGTATCAGCTACACGGTTAAGACATTGCTATGAATTGGGGATCATCCTAGAGCTGTGCGAATCGAGATTTTTGCCTTCGAATCGAATCGAATCTCAAAAATTTTCTTCAAATCGGATCGAATCGAATTGGCCAAAAAATTTCGAATCGAATCGAATCAGTCCAAATTCGAGCCCGAATCGAATCGAAAAAAAATCGGTTGTATTTTTCGTATGCAAGTCACGCGGTATTTTTAAACTCATTTAAACTGGCCACGTACCGTAGATGTTCGACGACTGTACAACGTGTAGTGCGGGCATAGAGCGGGTGCCGCACACTAGACACCAATGCGATTCGATGTCGAACCAAACCGATTCGAAATTTCGAATTATTCGACATCGAATCAGGCAAATTCGAAATCGAACGAATTCGAATCAGGCCGATTCGATTCGATTCGATTCGATATCGAACAATTCGCACAGCTCTAGATCATCCAGAGAGTACGTCGGCCATTCGCCGTTACGACCCTGCTAAGTTCTGCCTCTGCAAGCTTTCATAGCGCCTGGTAGATAGACAACATTTCATCTGCAGTGCATAAGCGTATGGCGCGGTGGCCTATCTTGAGTCTCGCAGGCGCCGAGCTGCTGTCATTTCCCGAATGAATTTGAGAAAAAAGGGACGCACACGCACTTTCAGGACTAGCCCTTACTGGGCAGGTTTAACATTTTCATTGGTCGGTATTGGTTCTCCTACACAAATTAGGTTAGTCACAGTCAATTTTTCACATGTTTTTTAAAAATCTCCAGCACTAAAAAAAAGTAGTTGACTTGATTTTATTTTCGGGTGCAGCACGGGCCATGCCAGGAGCGTCCCTGCAGTAGAGAGCTATACACTACGCCAGCCCTCCTGCGTTCTAGGATTCACCTAATTCCCTTCCATCCAAGCGAATCTCGCGATCCGGATACGGAGCTGCCTTACAAACCTATACACACGCGAACGCACTCCCGGGAGGCCTCCTGGTGTGGGAGAGTGACGGAGCGAGCAGATAGGCTAAAGTGGGCCACAGAATGAATATTACTGACCGAAACAGCCAGATGGGTGGAACTCGCGGCTCTGGAAAAGATGCCCTCAATTAGGTAGAGCTTCCCGCTACCACTGCCACGCAAGTTCATGAAGGGAAAGCGAACGCAAAGATGTTAGAATTTTTTTAAAAGGTAACGGGGACGTCATCATAGGCGGTTTGACGGGCGTTGCAAGTGCGACTAGCACAGATGGTAGGTGGCACTGCCGTAGCTGTAGAATCATGCGCAGCTCCGGGAGTAGCTAGTTCTATAGCTCACTGTCAGGGGCGGGCGCCCCTTCCACCTGCCTCCGGCGAGACGCCGCGCACGGGAGTACGATGGGTGGCCTACCACGCGGGTGCCGCGCATCCCCGCCCCATAGCAGCGCACGGGCAGTCTGTCTCCCCGGGACTCACCGACGAGTGCACCTCGTTCTCTTCTGCCTGCTGGATATTCACATTCTTAGTTTGCATCGTCAACGCCCCTGAGCACCTGGAACAAGCGAGAAAGCAAATTGTACATCGCGCCAAAGTACACCCAGAGAACCATTTAGTTGATAAAACTAAATCAGGGTTGAGGGTTGTAAGAAACAAAATTTAGTTCCTGAAACCAACTCAACTTTAGTAACCCCATTTTCAACTAAATATAGTCGCATCAATCAAATTAAGTCAGCTGGACTAAATTATTTCATCTCCACAGATAAATTTTGGTCCCCAGAGCTAGAATTTCGTCGGTTTTGAATTTGGTTCTCTAGACTAAACGGTCTTCTGGACATTTATAAATAGTGCCAGACGTTAGGATCCGAGCCCAAAGCTGTCCTCCTCAGTGCAGAGGTCTCGCATGCACCTCGTGATTAAGTCGTGGTCCACCAAGTACCAAGTCGCCCCGCACCCGCGCATGTAGGCAACCCAATCGACTCCGCCGTGCAGCCGCGGGCCCGCCTAGGCCCGCCCACCGGGGTAAAGAGAGGGGGGGGGGCAGGGCACGGTAGTAGAAGGGATTCCTCAACATTCGTTTTTCCGCGACTAAGAGCCGTGCTTCTGACGGTGCGCACATCTGTGTTAATTTCCCCCTCACCCACCCTCCTCTCCCTGCCGCCACCGCGCAGTCTCTCATGAATATGCATACTCGTACCTTTTTTCCGCGCCCACTCGGGGCGGTAGCGCGGAGCGGGGCTCGCTGCAGTGAGCGACAGGTAATTAGGGTAACTGCTCGGGTAACCACTCGAATCAAGCCGCTCAAACGACGCGCAAAACAAGAATAATAATAATTCATACAGTGGAAGCAGGCGCGCGGTGGCGAGGGATGGGAATTCGGGGGAACATGGCAATTCCAATCTCGCGGATTTTTGAAAGGAAAGGGGGGTGGGGTGCGGACGTCACTTAAAGAGTGCTTTAGGGACGGACCCCGTCCGCAGCCGACACGCTCCGGGGAGTGGTGGTGTGGCGGCGCGCAGCGTGGGAGAGTGGCGGAGAGGGAGGGGAGAGGGGGCACGGCCACAGCGCTCCACCCTCCAGCCCCCGCACCCCTGCAACCCCCCAGTCGTACAGCCCTGCAACTCTGCCGTGAGGTCCCGGTGATCAGTGCGCTCAGCAAACTCACCTTGCGGTGCGGAGCAACCTGCTCCCGCTCGCCCCTGACCTGCCCCGCCCCGCCTTGGAGAGGTGGATGCTGCAGGTCCTCCGACGGGACGGCCAGGCCCGGGCAATCAGAAAGCGATTTAATAGGGTGGGGTTGGG